AATTAATCTCTATGTCAAATTTTATTAAAGATTATTTCATTAGTAAAAACTTGTTTTATATATAAAACTGATTTATTACTTTCAATTATTATTATATTTTTACTTATTACATATATAAATCTAATAATTATATAAAATCAGTGATTCTAAGCTTTACCAATCATATGGGTCAGTGCAAAAGATTTGTACCTCAGATAAAGAGTTGCGATTGCTTCGTCCAAATCTTCAGCGGTAGTTTCCAATTCACTTACAAGTCTCTCATATTTAGAATTCCAGGTCAACAGCCATTCTACGCTCTTTTTGTCGGTATTATCTTTCTTTGCGGCTTCCGGTATCACCTTATTAAATTTTGCGATTTCAAAGTCAAATTTCTTATCGACCTTTTTCACTTGATTGGTAAATGTCTGGTAGAGATCCTTAAAGCGCACCCCCAAGGATGTTACTTCGGGTCCGAATTTACTTTTAGTGAGATGTTGCACAGGAATTGCATGAGCAGCAATGATAAATATTAAAAAAATGGTTAGGATTGATAAGAATTTCATGATTTTTGAATGTTGTAGAGGATGTTTTAAATATTACGTTTCTTGATATTGGTTCAAGAGAAAGTTGAGAATGCTATAATGTTGATGAGAGCACAGCTCTTAAATACAAAATGGATTAATTTTCGAAGGTAATAATTGGGCAAATTTATAGATTTCGAAGGAGCATCTTTAAATTACTAAAAAATTTCCTTATTCTCGATTTCTTTTAAAAATTGCAAAATGAAAACAAATAGTCCAGAAATAGATACATCTGTACACATTTTTTTCAGTGCCGGAATTGCTAGCCAGTGTTTGCAAATAAAATAAATAAAATTCCAAGTTGGCATCATTATTTTTGGTTCATTCGGATTTCTTTCATATGATTTATTTAGTCCTGACATTCCATTATTCGGATAGTTCAAATAATAAAAAGGTAGTTAAAAGTGATACCCTGCTGAAAGCCATAGGATGTTATGTGTAATGAATTTAAAAAATGAATTTGGTATGTGTGTTTATTAAGACAATCATGACAATATCATGTAAAAAATCATATGGGTAATATGTGGTAAAATAGCCAACAACAAACAAAAATCTACAATATGTTAAATTTATTCTACTAATAATAGAAATGATTCACTTTAAAAAATAAGGTACAGTGTTATTTAAAATTTTCGTTATATTATGATGAACATGTATATGGTTAATAAAATGCTATATACTCATATCATTATTCGGGATTGCGTGATGACATGTGACTTTATGCTGATGTGGAACTACGAGATGAGATTCCCTTATCGTTATACAAGTTCTGCGCTACATACATTTATACGAAAAATTGACTTTTTGAAATCATAAAGTATTAGCAGTATTTACTCGCAGGAGTTTGTACATCGTGATTTTCATCATCCTGAAACATATTAATGTCGTCGGGATTACCTAAAATTGACTTAGTATTCAACTAATATAGAAAATCTAATCAAGAAATTTGTGGATTAACTCCTTATCAATCTTAAGAACTAGGTGGAAATTCATACAACAAAGATAGCTTGGGATTGTCATGTTATGTAACTGATGAACTGCCATTCTGTAAATGAAATCATAAGGATCTCGTATTAGACATCAATAAAAGGTGCACGAACTTCAATACCTAATAATGTATCCAGATGGTGCAAGCTTACCCTATTTCGCGAAATAACGCACCCTGCGCATTTCCGAGTATTTCGAGACAAAGAATCGATTTTATACTAAAACCTGACTTTCGAAAAAAACGCCCATGTGCTTTTCTCATCTATGACTATATCAATTATAAAAAAATAAAAATACTACTTTTTTGAAAGTATGAACGTTTTTTGATTTTCTTGTTTTTATGTTTTTTATTTATGTTTTTCATTCGCATTTATGTTGTTTTGCTTTACATTTCGTTAAGTATCCTTTTTTTGTATTACGAACACCCATAATATAAAATGATCGTTATTTTGATTTGTATGTTTCGCGTGCAAGTATTTTACTTTATTTACAAGTAGGGCTGCAGACTTATGAATGTTGCCGTAATATCATTTTACGTTCCCTATGAAATAATTCAAGATGTGAGGATTCGTCAAAAAGTCATAACTGTGTTTGTCGTAATATTAGATGTTTGCCGTAACATCTGACGTATGCCGTAACAATGATTTGAATCGATAGAAACCAAACAAATTGATAAATTTTAAATTTTGCGAAAATTAACATTTTATATCCCGCGTTTTATAATTAACATACGTAAAAAAATTACAATATCTCAAAATTTATTATGTACTGGTAAATTAACATTCATTATTAATTGAAAAATGTCCAGCATACTGTATCTATTTCTATTGATTAGGCATGAAACCCTATTTTTGAAAAACAAATTGATTTGCTTGGTTTTTAATGACTTACACATGTATATTGTAACCTTTAACGATAATAAAAATAAAGAAAACAATCAATCATAACTCAACTGGCAAAAAACTGCACTCTAATAGCACAGATTAAATTTGGATTTGAATAAAATGAATTTTGACTATTATGTGTATATCCTCTTGGTAATCAAATATTTAGAAAGAGACTAATTATAGAAACCTTTACTTTAAAATCCCGACATATCCAATGATGGGATTTTATGAATGTTATGAGAGTCGGGATTTTGGGTGATTGAGATTTTGGTATTCGGAGATTTTGGTAAGTCAGGATTTTGGACGTCAGGATGTTGGGTATCGGGATTATGTCTCCAGCATTTCAATTATGGTATGGTATAATGGGTGCAAAATTTCGCAAGGAACATTTTTTTATTAAACATAATACATGTACAGTTAACTCTCCCTAAATGCACACCCTTGGGACCGAAAGTGTGAGAGCGTGCATTTAGGGAATAATGCAAAAACGTGTATTTAGGGAGAGTATAATAAATTCACGTGATTCAGATACTTTATTCATTTATTGGTTAAAATATTGATCTATGCTTGTTTGTCGCATCATATTAGCTTTTTTCTCTCTAATATATCTCTCAAAAATATTTGTTATTTTTATGCGTTCATTTGCATTTTCTTATCGTAGTACAAATGCTTGTACAGTTTCCAAGCCTTGTAATACCATACTGGCACTGATAGGTGTTATTTCAGTGCTATCATCTACGTCTTCTGAACTATTACTGCTTTCTGCTATTTTGAATATATCTACAAGCTCTGTCATTATTTGATCATCACTAGGCATTTTATAAACAATATCTTTCTCGGGAATTGACAAAAATTCTTTAACTTCCATTGACTCAGAAAGATGAAGTTTTTCAAAAACTTTACAAAGTTCATCGGATATAGCATTTTCAGTTGTACAAACATGATCTGAGAGACTTTTTAAGTCAGTATTAATACCAACGGAAAGAATGTTAGTATGACACTAACAGTTATAAATTGTTTCTGCTGTGATTTCTTTTCATGCTTTAATAATATATTGGAGGACTTGAAGAATGTTCATTTTCAAAAATTCTATTTGCTATCTGACTTCAATCTGTCTTAACACTAACATCCATCTAAATATTAAAAAAGTTAATATCTCCTTAGATAAAACCAAAAGAAAATGTGATAATAATATCTTATAGCATTGATAACAGCGATAATGTCATTTAAATGTTATTATGATTTCAGCATTCATTGGCTGAATCTTTGCAGTTTATTTGTAAATATCAATATGCTGAAGCATTAAACTTTCCAATCTATGACTTGGACAATTGTTAATAAGCAATAAAACATGATTATCGTCTTTTTTTTTTTTAGCAATCTCTTTATCAAAGTTCTGTAGCTATTCTTGAAAGAGAGATATAAGCATTCAAGCTTTGTATTATTTCAATATATTATTGGCAAATTACAAATGCATATTTGCTGATTATAAGTGGGTTTAGCTTATGCAATCCATCAGCATTTGCACAAATACAATTAAAAGTCATTCTTCATCTTTCTTGCGACCTGCAAGATGCCTCATAGTCAATGTCTGATCTGGCTCCAGTCTAAAAAAATAAATTTAGTATTGGATTTTTACATTAAATATTTTAATGCATAATTACTATATTTATTGATAGAAAAGACCAGTCTCATCCATATTGTAAATACATTTAGAAGGATAATTAATGCATATTTCATGCAACTGTGGCAGGACCTCAATAATGACATTCAAATCAACTGATGTTTCTTCTTCTTGAAGCTTTATTTGATGGATGTTATTTCAAATTTTGAATTTTTTAAAGCCATCCAACAGAAAAGTTTAATGCACATTCAGGAATTCCCAGTCCGTTTGCTAGTATTTTGGCCTACTCAATTAGAATAGCATCACTTAGTGTTGTTTGATGCTGATATATTAAGACAAATTCCTTAAGTGCTTGTTCAAGCTCTGGGTATGTAACAGATCTGTGTCTTTTTGCGTTTGGAGCAATGATTTCTTCTTCAGAAAGTAACTGATTGCTTCTTTGCAAAATTTGTGTTATGGTAGACTCATTAACCCTGACTTGCCATTTATTTTCGATCCAATTAACATACTCCAAACGAGATTTCTTATTATCACGAGCATACAGGCAAAGTTTATATTTTTGCGAATCTGTCAAAGTTATTTTACTTTTTGGCGGCATGATGAATTATTTTATTAATGGTGAAATTTCAGTACAATTTTCTAACTAACGATTAGTTATAACGATATGATTACGATGGCATGCTTAAATAGTTATAATCTGGTAATGATAAAGTCTTTGACTCATTGGTGTTAGACATTGACTGACTATACCATATTTAACGGCTATATCACATGCGTGCATTTACAGAGATTATTTTCATATAGCCGGGACCGCAAAATCCATTGCACGTGCAGAATATAGAGAATGTGCATTTAGCATTAAATCCCGACGTTGGGACCATCAAATACCGTGCATTTAGAGAGAGTTAACTGAATAGCTCTTTATTTGTTTTCGTTACACATTGAGCTTACGATTTGATTGGTTTACCCCTTAAAAAAGCCACGTTAATACTTAGGGTATTGATTCAAATCATGTGGTACAGATCAAATGTGTGGCGGATATGTGGCTAAATCGGCTAAACGGTTTGCCTAATTGGACGGCGCATGACAAAGTACATGTATCACTTGCAGGCGTAATTAGTGAATTCTACATATTTTTGATAACATGTATTAGTATACGTATATTAAAATAAACAGAAATTGAAATGAATTTAATTTCTCATAATAATACATGAATCCTTATATTTTAAGATTGTGTCCTAAGCACAACTATAAATCCTTTAGGTTGAATTCTAGGTGACGAGTATCGACAATCAGAAATGAAGAATCACGTAATAAGAATAATCGACAAAGATCGCAGCTCAAAACCGGTTTTGTTACAGTCTAACCCTAGCGGAGACAATAATTCAGAACGTAAATATTCTAGCGGCCATCCCAATCTAGATCTATTAAATAATTACATATTAGCGTTAGTTTAGTTGATTAAAATTTTAGATATTTGAAGCATCCCAATTTTTGTACTTCCAAATAAATAATGTAACGTACATGTGGTTACAATTCGGATGCGTATAATTTTAAGAGAGATACATGTATAAGAAATAGTCATAATATGCATGTATATGTAGGTATTTACATACATATCGATATAGGATAATGTGTAGAATTATAATATTTTTTTTGTATTTATTATCATCAATTCTTTGCGCACAAAACCGATGAAAATCGTTGCTTGTTCTATGTTTTGATTAGGACGCCGTGATATGATAAATTAAAACGAACACAATTTTTTCACTAGAAAACATTTTAAATATTATAAAATGAAAATTTACAGTTTCATCTGTATATTACAACACTCTAGCTATTTTGAGTATGAGCATTGTAGGAACAAAAACCTTGAAAAATGGATCTTTTAGTGTATATTTTTTGATAATGTTTCATAACGATAACGATATAATGACTAGATAAATGATTCCAATTATTCAATTGACCTTCTGTTTACAAAAAAGTTGAAAGTGATCGAAAAAATAATTTAAATATTTTATTTCCTTCATAAAATTATAACACACATATACGGATTTAAATGTTATATCGATATAAAACAAATGTGCGTCGGTAGGAAGTAAAGAATCGATTAGTGTAACATTTCATTTGAGTGGATTTCTTGGTTTTTGCTTATCAACGTAATGTAGAAATGCTGCTTGCGATTTCATTTCCTCATCAAGTTGTTTTAATTTCTGTCTAATTTTTCATGTACTATGCATTTTCAATATTATTTTGTATCTTAAAGTACCAGTTTCCAATCTTTTATAATTGATAGATTCTATAAAGCAATCAAGTTTCTCAGCAATTAATCTGTTTTCTGAAATAGGATCCAAACTTCTTTCAATAATAAATTTGACACTATCCGGGATGTAATTAGTTATCGTAGGTTATAGATGTCGTGTCGCATTCGAATTATTTACCATGGCTCCGCTCCCCAAATAGGCGCTCACCAGTTACAATCTCGTACATAACCATTCCACTGCTATAAATATCGCAGTGGTTTTCCATTTAGCACCTCTGGACTCATAAGGAAACACTCCACAAATTTCTTGGGTAAATTTTTCTATATGAATGGAAGGTTCAAAATCAGCAAACTATAATAAATAACGATAATAGAATGAATCGTGATATGCTCCTGCTATAGAAAAGAATTCTCATTTGTAAATGAAACGGTAGAAAGTAGCGAATTTTATCTTTGTTCCGATAATCAATTGACTCCAAAAAATCATAATCGAATAGTTGTCAACTTAATCAACTAGGTCTTCCGAACTTAAGGTTGCATTAACGAGGAGGAGAAAAAATTGATATGAAAATTTAGAAGGGATTGTTGCATCAATGTTACGGAAGATTAATGCAGCGGTATTGAACGATTAAATATTAATTATTTACGAAAATAAATGAATTATTATTATCACAATTTTTATTTTTAATACATGTATCGGACAATCCTTTTTTGGGTAATAGTAAATACATGTAACGGTAACGGTAATGTTGGTGTTAGCGTCACACGAGACCTGATTCGTACTTTTGTGCCAACAATCAAAAATAAAAAAAGAAAAAAATTCGAAATCTAAGATTGAAAGAGATAAATAATATTAAATTGTAAAAAGAATATTTCTCGCGCATTTACAATTAGATGACGGTTATTTTATGCTTTTATGATTATTTTACTCGTCCATGATTATTATTCGATAATCTTATTCAAAAGGGTCATTTTTCTAGATCGTTTCTAATTCAGGATCATAATCTTTGTTGCATATAGCTTTTAGAGCATGTTGATTGGACTGATATCTCAAAAAAGCATTTAAAAATAAATTGGAGTTAACCGTATTAGATTTACAAAACCACGGATAACGGTATATTGATACATAAAAGAGTCGTTATTTTTTTCTGCATAATCTTTGTTGGAGCAGAAAATTTACTGGCACATCAATCGCTTCGTAGAATAGTCAATACATGTACATGCACATATACATGTTCTGATATTACTGCAGCATTAAAAAGATTAAACAATTTAAGGTTGAAAGAATCTCGGTCACCAAAATCAATGAGTGAACACGGCCAACATGTATATAATACATTTCATATATTTTGTCAAAAAAATAGAAGTTAACTAATAATTGTACTACCACAACTAAAAGTTGATAAATTTTTCAACGAAACAATGTTCAAACAATAGGTGAGGATTTAAAATGAACCTTTAACAGTTGATGGAATACTAGATATCATATTTTAATGGGATTCAGAAGTCAAATAACTAATTACCTGAATGAATAAAATATTGAATATTAAAGAGAAATATTTTATTCACGCAGATTTACATAATTGATTGATTGTGTTTGTCAAAATTCCAGCAGCATAAATGCATCTCTTCAAAAAATCAATCGAGTTATTAGTAATGAGCATTATGAAATCACTTTATTATGTTAAGCAATAACTAAAAGTGCAAGACAAATGACGACAAAGTTGCAGGATATAAATTTAAGCTGGCACATTGCCATTTGAACATATTGAGATCGATGCATTGGAAAAAGTATATTCACCGATTTGTTAGAATGAATTACAATCTTGTGTGCGAGGAGATATGGCGACAGCATTAAAGGGTTTTTGTTTGAAAATATGAATCCATTCAAGCATTACTAACTCCTAAAATTTCAACAATGCATGCGTGTCAAGCAATGGGAGTTTCATGCTTTTTATATAATGATAATAATGACCTGGATGATTATTAATGGTGACTACCAAATTTAGGGTTAATACATACACAATCATCAACTGTTGAATTTAGGTTCTTCGAGTTAGACAGATAACGACTTTAGTTTGTAAAATATTTCTTATGAATTAGATGCCGGTAGTTCGAAAACAACGTAACTTTTTTGTTACTAATCGTTTATGCATGCATGCATGCAATAATTAGCGTTAGACAAGAGACGAATACTTTTCATTAATAAATGGCGTAATACATGTACAAATGTATTTATTATAACGATAACGCTAAATTTTATATACATGCACATATCGATCGATAAACAACATGCGCATGCGTGTAACTTGGAATCTATCAATACATGTACATATTTGTTATGAACATCATAACGATAACGAGGATCCCTATGTTTCGAGATATATGCACATAATTATAAAACATAAATTACTGTAACTCAAAGTTCTTATTCTACGCAGCATGAAAAATCTAGCTGATAAAGAGGAAGAGGCAACAGATAACTAATTAAAATTTCTATAAATAGTCGCGCCATGTTGAAATAAAAAGGATTTAAATCATATATTATATATATATATAAAAGCACCTTAAGATTACAATAATGTCAATGTTGTGCTGTTGTTGTAGTATCCCTAACAAAGCTTCATGGCGCAAGACAGAACCAACCGTAATCAAGGTTCTCAAAGGAATATTTTTACGAGTGATTGGTTTAATATTGTATCTCTACATTATTGTATTGTTTTTTCGATTGATAACGGATGAACCATTACAAACTGTCGTTCCGTTATTTGATTATAACATTTCAGCTCCATGTAAGAAAAATAAAATTTTTTGTTTTTCGCTATCGCACATTTGTATTGACAATGAAATCATACTAACTTTTTGCATGTAGATGCTGAATTTTCCGCTCCTTTCAAATACAATATAACTTGTAATTTCAATTTACGTAAGTAATCAATGTTAATGTTGCCTAGTCAAGTTCCCATGAAACTTTAAAATTTCTTTTGTTATATTTTAGAAAGTGGAAAAACGCAGAGCTGTGACAATTACATGATACCGCCAGTATTTATTGAAGGGGACAAAACATACGTGTCGAAATTTTACACAACAGATTCTAATTTTACGTTCTCTAGTGACGGGATCCAAGATATCGGATTTTCCTTTTATATGACTAATTCTTCGATAAATTCTCTTGACTTGTTTTCGACTTTGAGTGCTGCCCTGGTGGCTCACGGTAAGTTATATGTTTGAGTATAAATTTGAATGCGTCATATCGATATAAACAACTATTTTTCACTTGTAGATTCAACTTTGTTATATGATTTCTATGCAAATAAAAGCTATAATCCCGATTTGCTTGCACAACTTATTAAAAAGAATCAATATGTTCTTTCTCCATATCAGGTGAAGAATACGTGCATACATGTACACGTTTAAAAGAAATTATGCTTTATAATGCTCACAGCTTTTTTTATCTTTTTTAGATGAATCAAATTAGTTTCCAACAATACATAAATGAGAGCATTGCGGATACTCCAAAAAATATTTTTGGTATTCCTCGAACTGACTATGACACTGATGTTGCAATCGAAACAACATTTCGTAAGTTTCATTGTTGATATATCACATTATGCTTTAACTTCGATGCATTGGGTTAAATACTGTTTATGTAACGAAATAACTATTAATGTATAGAAACATCAAATTTTCCATCAACGAATCTAACAAATCTAACGAATCCAACGGATCCAGAATTATTATTTTATACATATTTGGACCTGACACTGTTAACTTATGAAGAACCAAAAATAGGACAAAAAAAGTAATTCCTTTACCAAATTATTAAATGCGTTGTCATTGTCTTTTTACTAAAATATAAAACTTAATATTTATTCTATGTCTTCTGATCAAATTAAAGAAATATTGATGTAAGTTTTTGATCTTTGTAAATTGTTTCTTTGCAATAGAAAAAGATTAATTTTTTTCAATCAATTTAGTTACTAGGCATTCTTAGTGCGCTTGGTGGTGCTATGAGCGGTTTTTCTGCTGCATATGTCTTTCTTTTTGGTATGTTTCACTTTCTAAATTTTATTTGGTACAAGTCAAAAAAATCTTTCTAAAAAAAAATTGAAATAAATAGGGATCGACCGAGTAAAACCATGGGGACTCTGCCAAAGAATTTTCAGAATCAGAGACCCAATTCAAAAGAAACTATATAAAACACTTGGCCCAAAACTACCGTTTGTCAATGTTGATGAGAATGACAATGACGAAAAAATGCCAGTTTCTTTGGAAGAACTTCAAAACCGACTGAATAGTTTAGAACTCTTCTTACGTGAGTACATTATTGATCATTTGTATCTTGCTGAAACTCAAAAAAACGTAGAAGATGGGAAAATTAAAGTTTGATAGTTATAAAGTCTTATTTGTGCGTCATATTTTATTATTATATGCAACAGTAATTATTTCAACTAATGTACTTGTAAAATACTATCATTATTATTGTAATTTTTGCATATATTTATATTAGTTATTATTTAAATTTAATATTGAAAGATATTATTAATTATTAATTCATTGAATATCTTATTAAACAAGCAAATATTATTTTAAAATATTTTATTTAGCTTACTATCTATTCTCAAATAATAGAAAATAAAAATATTACTGGTAGTAACTAAAAACTTATATTTCTATATGTTGAATTATAATTTATGAAGCTATTGAATTTATTATATATTTATATACTGTATTAAGAGATAATATTTTTAATTAATAATTTCTAAATAGAAGATAATTCAAAGCTATTCAAATAATATTATTAATAAAATGATCAAAACTATTTTATAATATTATGATTACTTTGAGAATACTTGGATATTAGCTTAAATATTAAAACTAATTCATATTATTATTCAAAGTATTAGAAAGTAATAATATTATTATAACTATTTGTTATTACTATAATATAGTCAGATCTTTTTAAATGTAATCTTTCTAAATACATAATAATAATCTTGCTTCATGATGAAATCTATAAATAATATATATTCTTTATTCTATAAATACATCCTATTTTCTTGACTCATTTATAATAAGCTCTCTTCATAAATACAGGTATATAATTATTACTATTCAGAGCTAATTAAATTTTATTATACATATTATTATAAATTATATTGTTATCATAGTGACATAAAATTCCTTAATTCCATAATCTTTAATTAATAGTAATTTTACTATTCAATTACTTTAAATCTTGAATTATATTAATTACTAGTAACTTCACTTATTAATCTTTATAATTCTTTTAATTTATATTTTTTTTTCTTTTATTATTTATCACTTTGAAAAATAATATTTGTAAATATTAATATAGATCTTAGAAATCTTTATTATGTATTATTAAAAATATAGTTTAATTTCTCTTTTTTTATCTTTTATTTAATTTAATCTCTTCTAATTCTATATTATTAAGATGAATTCAAGTAAAAATTCACTTACTAATTTGTTATAATAATATTTTTTATAAAATTTTATTTATTAAATAATAGTTTATTTATTATAAACTTATACATAATCATTTCAAAACTATAAATATTTATAATATTAATATATAACTTTCTATTTAATATTATTAGATTTATATAAGAATATACTTTAAAAATTTTTTAGTTAAATTTTTCTAAATTTATTAAGTAATTATTATAAGAAATAAGAATTAAGGTAATACAAATTATATAAAAAAAATATGATTGTATATAGTATATATAGTTATAATTTAATAATTTATTTATTAATATGATATAAAACAAATCTAAAAAAAATAATCTCAGTTTTTTCTCTTTTTTTATTATAAATAAAAAAAATATTAATTATTAATTAATAAAAGAATATAAATTATCTTTAAAAATATAATATCTATAATATTCTAAATTTAATAAAAAAAAATAATATTTTTTTCTTTATAATTGTAATAATTTTGATTAGATTATCTTTCTTTTAGACTCTTTTAGTTTAGATCTTTATTTTACATTATTTATATTACAGATTAGCTTTATATTGCATTTTTAAGAAAATTAATTTCATACTGGATATACAGATAATTATTATACATTTAATATATTAGATTTAATATATTATTATATAGATAATTATTATATATATCACAATTATTAATTTAGATTATTAATATTTTTAATTATATTTATTATTAATATTTTCTTTATATTTTTATTTGTTCTTCTTATTTATTATTTATATTATTTATAATTATTAGATTATTATTAATTTTTCTCTGAAAATATGAATTAAATTAATTAATTCTATTCAACTTATATGTAATTTAAATTAGATATTATATTAATTTATTTGTATTTTATATTTATTTTTTTTCTTATAAATATGATCTTTCTATTTTATATTTTTAACTTAAGATCTGAATACTTTTAAATAATAAAAATAATTATAAGTTATAAAATTAAAAATATTTATATTACATTTTATCTTGTTTATAATCATTAACAAAATAATCTTATAATTTAATAATAGTAAATATGATTATTATAAAGATCATCTTTTACTATCTTATTATATTTTACATATTATATATACTTTATATATATATATCTTAGTTTTTATTTATTAAATTTTAGTAAAAATAAATATAGAACAATTTATACAATTTATGAAAAGCATAACTGAATTGATTAAAATAGTTAAAGAAGATAATTCCTTTGGTTTTAAGTCTTTATTTCATCTCTCAGTAAAATTATCTATCTACTTTAGAGAACTAAATAAAAATATACTTATCTGAATAATACAAGTAAAAACTATATTTCTGATTTGAGAAATTATAGATAAAAAAATTCAAGTATAATATGTAGTAATCTTCTTAACAAAAGCAATATTATACTGATATCTCAATAAATACAAAACTGATAATTATGCAACTCTTTTTAAGAATTAGAATAATTTTATTATTATACTTAAAAAAGTATTTTAGTTATCATATTATCAGTAATATCTTTATAAATAACTTTATCTTCTTTACCAAACTGAATCTGTACAAGATTATAATATAAAATTTAGAAATATAATTGATCAAGTTACAAATATAAGTAATCTAAATCAGATCACCTATTTTATAGAAGATTTAAAATCTATTACAAAGATAGAAATTAGTTATTAGATATTAAAAACTTTAGAAGAAGCTTAAAAATTAGTAATTAGATATAATATTATTATATATAAATAAGATAGATCTTTAAATCTATCAAATAAATATAATAATAATAATATTACTTATAAAATCAATATAAAAATTATCAAAATAATAGTCTAATATCAATGAAACTAAACTAAGTAGAAAGTTATTATAATAACAGAAAGAATAATAATTATTAAAAAAATAATAAATCTAAAGAAATATATTATAACTATAATAAATCAGACTATTTTATTAAGAATTATTATTCAAAATCAAAGATCAAAATAACAAATATAGAAGATAAATAAGAAGAATCTTCATAATCTTATGAGAGAGTTGAATTTATTTATCTTAAAGATAATAATAAAAGATTATTAAAATTCAATAATTAAGTAAATAATAAATTAGCATGAATATTACTAAATAATGATATATCTAAAAACTTTATTAATAAGAAATTTATCCAGAAAAATAAAGTAAAATTACAAAAAATAATACTGATTATAGTAAAACTTACAGATAATAAAAAGATTACTACTATCATTATGATAAAGATTGATAAATTGAAGTTAGATATATATTATATATATAAGATAAATATAATAATTTTGATTAAGTTATCTTTCTTTAGATCTCTTTTAATTTAGATCTTTATTTTGTATTATCTATATAATAGATTAGTTTTATATTATATTTTCAAGAAGATCATTTTTACTATGTATTTAATACATCTAAATTTAATATATTATTACTCAGATAATTACTATATGTATTATAATTATTAATTTAGATTATTAATATTTTTAATTATATTTATTA